ACTCCTGGGTCCTGTATCCTGAGGTCCTGATTTTGCAGATCTGGGATGGGACCTGATCATCTGTGTTATGAGCAAGTTCCCAGATGATGCTGGTGCTGCTGGTCCAGGGACCACACTTTGAGAACCACTGCCCTGCCGCCCCTCCTATCTCTCTCTCCTTGGCTCGCTCTACACACCAGGATTTTGCCCACTCCAGGGTCTTTCCTTTGCGTGTGCACTGCCACCCAATGGCAACATCGCCATTAAGTTCTCAGCTCAAATGTCATCTCAGAAAGACCTTCGCCAGCCAAGAATCAAGCATAGCTCTCATCCCTCAGCCACTTTCAAGCACATCCCCTGTGTTATTTCTGTTGCTTTGTTTATTGTTTTGCTTTGTTTGTTTCTTGGTTTTGGTTTTTTGAGTTGGATCTCATTCTGTCACCCAGGCTGGAGTGCAGTGGCACAATCATAGCTCACTGCAGCCTCCAACTCCTGGGCTCAAGCGATCCTCCACCTCACCCTCCCCTGCAGCTAGGACTACAGGTGTGTGCCACCACACTTGGATAATTTTTTTTTTTTAATGTTTGTAGAGATGGGGGTCTCGCTATGTTGCCCAGGCTGATCTGGAACTCCTGTCCTCAAGCAATCCTCCCCCCTCGGCCTCTCAAAGTGCTGAGATTATAGGCATGAGCCACCTTCCCTGAGTTGTTTATTTATTGATTTATTATCCATCCCTCCTCCACTCAATCTAGAATGTCATATGGATACTTGTTTATCTGAATTTGCATGGCGTGTGCCCTGGGGTTGGAAACATTGTAAGTGTTCCAGACATAGTCACTGAATGAATGAATGAGTGAAACAATGACAGAATAAGGGGAAGGGCAGTTGATAGCAAAAAAGAAACATATGTGGGAACTTGGAAGGAGAGAAACAGTGTACAGTCAGCAACACAGACTCTAGCATCCTTTTCCTTCTTCCACTGACTCCACCTGCTTATGAAGCCAGCCTCGGATGTGCACTGGCAGGTTGGGGTCCCTTCTGAGTGCATTGCCCCTCTTCCCAAAGGCGTGGACCTTGTTTACTGCCCGGGTAGTCTTCTGAGGAGAGAAGGGGACAGAGTGAATGAGGGAGGGTCTCAGGATGGCCTGGTAGGGCGGTGAGGTGGGACTCTGGGTCTCACTCTGTCATCCAGGTTGGAGTGCAGCAGCACGATCATGGCTAACCACAGCCTCGACCTCCTGGGCTCAGGCGATTCTCCCACCTCAGCCTCCTGAGTAGCTGGGACTACAGGTGCACGCCACCATGCCTGACTAAATTTTTAATTTTTTTGTAGAAACAAGGTCTCGCCATGTTGCCCAGGCTGGTCTCAAACTCCTGGGCTCAAGCAATCCTCGTGCCTCGGCCTCCCAGAGTGCTGAGATCACAGGCACGAGCCACTGCATCCAGCCAGTCCCTAAACTTTTGGCTGGGAGGCTGATTTGGGGTGCAGGCAGCTTTATTGTCAAAGAAGGGTGTTTTCTTATTGGAGTTCATTAATGGATAGATGGAACGGCTGGAGGTAAGACAGAGAGTCCCAGTGCTAATCAAGAACAGCCACTGCTTCTGAGAACTAGAGGGGCCTCATGGCTGGGGAGTGGCCTTATCTTAGCAACCAGGGTCAAAGGAGGTTGTTAGTCTGGCTTAGAATTGGGAAAATACAAAGGGTGGGGACAGAGCTGGGAGTGCCTCTGCATTCCTAGCCGCGGCTGGTGGACAATTCAGGACCTTAGAGAGGTCCGGCAGACCCCATTGCTAAGGATCCACATCCTTTTGTTTTGTTTTGGTTTGAGTCGGAGTCTGTCACCCAGACTGGAGTGCAGTGGCATGTCCACAGCCACCGCAGCCTCAACCTGCTGTGTTCAGGCGATCCTTCCGCCTCAGCCATCCAAGTAGCTGAAACCACAGGCGTGCGCCACCACCCCCAGCTAATTTTTTGACTTATTGTAGAGACGAGGTCTCGCCATGTTGCTCAGAATGGTCTTGAACCCCCTGGACTCAGGCAATCCTCTCGCCTCCACCTCCCAAAGTGCTGGGATTACAGATGTGAGCCACCACGCACGGCTGGATGCTTGTCCTTAACCACCAGAGGCCCTGGGGAGGCTCAGACCCCTGCCTTCCTCCCCATGCCCACCGGGAAGCCCAAACCTTGGAGCTCAGGTTACTGAGCGAAGAGATGGTGGAGGCGCTGCTGGCCAGGCTGAGGCTGCTTCGGGGTCTGCTCTCCTCCATCAAGGGCTGGAGGAGGGAAAGAAAGGGGCTGTGTCTCTGCAGCGACCCGGTTCCAAACAGAGATGGGGTCAGGGGCTCGGAGGTCGGAGGAGGCCGAGGAGAAAGAGCCTCTTGTTTGGGGACTTGGGGGGCTGGAGGAGGCCACGGCCCAGGACCGCATAACAAGAGCAATGCCAAGCGAGGTAGGCGGCCCTGGCAGCTGCGGGAGGGGGCAGCTGTCTGCGGCCCAGGCCAGAGAATAGGGGATCCTTTATTCCTGCCCACTGCACTCTGGCCAGGAATGTGACCCTCTTTGTGCTTAAGGGCTCCCCATTCCCTGCCTCCTTCCAGCTGCCCCAGCCTACCTGCCTCCTGCCCTCCCCCACGCACCCCAGTCACCCCTGCCAGCTCCCCAAGCCAAGCCCTGCAGCACCGGGAATGTTCACCCCGGCAGCCCCTTCCAGCCCAGCCAGGAAACTTACCCAGCTCTGGGGTCCCAATGACAGGGGACAAGAAGACGGTGTGGGTGCTGCAGTGTCCCCTCTTTTGTCGCCTAGGAGCTGTCTCTCATAGTTCTCTGCCTCTTTTCTCACCTGCTAACTGGCACTCTCTTTTTGTCTCTTTGTCTACGTCTCTTATGGTCTCCCTCTCTCTTTCTCTTTCTCCCACTCTCCCTTCTTTTATACTCTCTTTCCAGTCGCACTTCTCTCTCTCTCTCCAAACCCTGTCTCTTTCACTCTCTTCTTCACGCATTCTCTCCCTCCATCACGCTCTCTCCAACCTTTCTGTTTCTGTCCAAATCTTCTCTCCCAGACTCAGAGTCTCTTTCCTAAGTCTCTATCTCCTTCTCTCTCTCTCTCTCTCTCTCTCTCTCTCTCTCTCTCTCTCTCTCTCTCCCTCCACGTCTGTGTTTCCTCCCCTCTCTTTCGGAATCTCCTTCTTACTTTCTCTCTTCCTCCCTCTTCCAGTTTCTCTTTCCTCTCTTCTGGTCTTTCCCTTCCTCTGCCAGCCGCCCACGCTGCTGCTTCCCCTCCCAATCCCGCCTGTCCCCGCCCCTTCTGGCCTCCCCATCATAGCCTGACCCCTGGCTCAGCTGCCCCCACAGCTGAAGGGAGGGGCAGCCCCCCCAACCCTGGGTCCCCTGAGAGCTGAGGCTGGGAGAGTAGATTGGAAGACCGAACTCCAGGACCCTGATGGGTTTGTCGTGCTCAGGGGCCTGGTGCCCTAAAGGGAGGAGGCTTGGGGTTTGCAAGGGGTGGGGGCTCAGAGTCCCAAAGTCCTGGAAGGATTGGGTTAGGGATCCAGACTCCTGGGTGCCTAAGAAGGTATGAGCCAGGAGTCAGGACTTTTAGGCTGTAAGTGAGGGTTTTTAAGAGGATGGATCCGGGGATAGCTTATCCAGGGTTCCCAGGGAGAAGAGATTGGTCCCAGATTCCTGGATTCTGGCTACGACCGAGTCAAGTGGTGAGTATCAAATCTCCACCTCAGATCCAGGCAAGAATTCTGTTCTAGCCGGGCACGGTGGCTCCCACCTGTAATCTCAGCACTTTGGAAGGCAGATGTGAGAGGATTGCCTGAGTCCAGGGGTTCGAGACCTGCCTGGGAAACTTGGCGAGAACTCATCTCTACAGTAAATTTAAAAATTAGCCGGGCGTGGTGGCACGTGCCTGTGGTTCCAGTTACATGGAAGGCTGAGGCGAAGAATCACGTGAGCCCAGCAGGTCAAGGCTGCTGTGGCCATGACCTGCTGGACCACAGAGTGTGACTCCGACTCAAAAAAAAAAAAAGAAAAGAAGAGAATTCTGTTCTAAACTGAGAACAACCCCCTCAGGAGGGATACGTGGTTTCCTGGCTATATTACGGTACTAGATAATGCATCAGGTAGGGGAAGAGAGCTGTGGGGCTGGAACTGTGGCTCTGAGCCTGAAACTTGTAGCAGAGGCCCCCTCACGTCCAGGAACAGGCCCACCCAGTCAGATTTCCTTTTGTATAGACAGAGCTTTTGCATATGTTTGAAGCAGGGGCAGAGCCCTGTGCCTGTGACCAGAAAGGAACCTGAGCTTTTGGCTTGGCAGTCATTCGCCATACATTTGTTGAGCACCTGCTGTGTGTGGTCTCCTTTGTCCCCACTGACGAGAAAGCGAAGCGGAGTGCCTGCCTCCATGGTGGTTACATTCTCGTTCTCATTTCCAATGAATCTAGACTGCTGTGACCATCTTGGGCAAATGGCTTTATTTCCGAGCCTGTTTCCTCGTCTGCGAAATGGGAACAATGACATACCCTCCCATCCGGGGAGGAAACCAGCCGGATGTGAGGACGGGAGACTGTAGGCTGGAGCCTGAGGGTTAAATTGGGGTGGGAGGACCTTAACCCCGAGCAAAGGGAGAAAGCTGGTTCCCAAGCCTCAAGGGGGCCAAGCTTTTGATTGACAGCTCGCTTGTTCGGAGGCGTGGCCACGTTCAGAAATGCCCGGGTGACGTCACAAAGCCCGGAATCTCCGCGAGAAGTCCGGTCTTATTTTCCCTTCCCACTCTGCTTTCCGTCGGCGTTTCCAATCCCCGCCTCCTTCGTGACGTCGCCACGTCGCCGCGAAGATAAAAGCCTTGCAGGCGCCGTCTGCGTCTCTGAGTCCGTTCCTGTTCAGCGGCTGTTTCCATGAGAGAGTCCGCGGCGCGACCCCGAACCCGCTCGTCGCTCCCACGCTTGCGGCAGCCAGAGAGTCTTTGAGTCCCCCGGAGCCCGAGGCCTGAGGGCGAAATGAACGCGCTGGCCTCCCGAGCCGTCTGGACCCGTGGTCGCTTCTGGCAGCCCGAGCCGGCGCTCCTGCCCCCGGGGTGACGCGCAGCCCCCAAGCCGGTGAGTAAGGGGTCAGGACGCCTGGGTCCCCAGGGAGTTGGGACTCCTGGTCAGCAATGAGAAGGGCGCTCGGATTTCTGAATTCTGAGACAGGAAGGCTCGGGACCCGGACTCCCGGGTCTGGAGGAGGGAGGGCCTCGAAACCCGGACCGCAGGGGAGGCGGGATTGGGGGCGGACTGCGGGGTCTGGAGGAGTGGGCTGGGGGCCTGGAATTAGGAAGAAGGCGTTGGCAGCCTGGAGTCGTGAGCCCGAGGGATCAGAGGTCTGGGAGCCAGACTCTTGAGTCCTCAGTGAAGGAATCATCTGGGGGCGGGG